GAAGCCATTCCGTCACAAATCTCTACTCTGTCAGTTTTGCTCATGCGACCGCGAAGAAGAACTGCATGGCGAAAAATGGCATCATCATTCTCCCGGAGTCCGGCGAATAGCTGAAGTATCGAATAAGTTGTCAGTAGCAACAAGCAGGCGAAAAGTTTCAACTATCTTGCCCGAAGATGGAGCTGAGAACCTGAGATGGTAACAACTCTTCGTACCTTTGTGGACACTGACCTAACGTGGTCAGTGTATTCTAACCTGTCCTAAAGGGCACGCTCAGGTACTTAGCAGAGCGAACACAACGAATATAGTTCATTCTCGATTGCGATCGGCGGTTGTTCAACTACGGAGAATACTCTTTGAGACTTGGTGTTTTCATGACTTTAGGCAATGGAGCGCCTTTCTTACGGTTGATTCTCAGGCAGTGGTCTGGGAATTTTGCCAGTCGAAATAGAGTTTATGTTATGAGAATAATATGAATCAATATCAATCGATAGAGCACGTTGACGAAACAATCTCGACTCAACTCATTAATGGCCCAATTGGTTCGAAAGTTTAACGACCCAGTAATTTCAGTGACTCCCGCCAAAAAATTCAAATCTTTCGAACTAAAGACAACCATCACTAATGCGTCTAGAAGCAAAATATCTTGGCGGGATGCAATTTGAATGATTTCTTTGACGGTTCTGTTTTAAACAAATAAATGACGGCAAATTCCGCATATCCAAATGACAGGAAGAATTATGCACCGTTTGGATGCGCCTCTTGGCCACTGCCATTTCAGTATCGATACAAAGAAGGAAGATCGAAAAGACAGTGACGATGTCATTGCCGGATCTACAGTGTTGGAAATCAAGCTAAAACACGTCTTTAGAACAGATGCCGTTCGAGACGTGGGCCATACAATGAAACAATCTTCGTCGAGTGATGCAGCGTCAGCCTTCACTCTCTATTCGTTATACTATAACTTGTACATGGGATTGGAAAATTGTACAGCACATGATGTCATGGCCGTCAGATGTACAGCAAAAACAAACGGTGCTGCGTCTGAAACACATTAATACGTTGCCTGTAGTGACGTAAGGCCAGATATTCTAATTAAGAGTCAAACGGTGAGTGACAAGTAACGTTGGTACCTGTGCGCAAGATGGTTATGTAAATGTCACGTAGAAAAGATGGTTGCCATCCATGAGAAACGAAGTACAAACGTCGCTCGGCTGCATGATTATTGCTGATGTTACCTAGCGAATGATATCTGCCAAGACAATCTTGTTCATGTGCGAAACAAGTAGGACGGAGTATATCGAATACCATCACGCTGACATGGGTAATCGCCAGTATCAAATTCGAAAGACGGAAAAGTCGAACCATCTCAGTAGAAGATGGTATCGAGAATCTAAGGAACTTCGGTAGGAAAAAACCTTTTGCTAAAAATTTTGTTATCCCATCGAAACTTAATTTTAAAACATCAGATGTATGAAAAAACGAAAAGTTTGAAAATACAACAGATTACATGTGTATTCTTATAGTTGCAGTTCTTACAGTTCTCACAGAGCTCTTATTGCCGTCTTTTCACAGTGCATACGTTGTTCAAGGTTTGCCTTGAAACGGAGCGAACAGCTGTATTAATTATGAAAATAAAAAATCAAGCGTGACCATCAAACTTTGCAACAGTTCACGTCAAATTCCAGTGTTCCTCAAATTCTTTCGATGTGTCATTCATTCAATGCAGATGCACATTTCGATGCATAAATCTGGTACATGCTTCAAGACAATACACGCAGTGTAGACGCTCCATTAACGATTATCAATAACTAAATGCAAAGTGGCTAGACCACGTGATTTCTCCTTACGGGAAACACAACAAAGCATACCAAATATCAAGTATTTACTGAAACAAAACAGAAGCTTGTAGCTAATAACAGTGTTAAAAATTAAACGGTACTAAACTGGAGAACGCCCTGAGTCAGCTATTGCTTTAGCAATGTTCAAACCTGATCCAAATATGTACTTATGACGAATGCTGCATCTTCACGTTGCATGATGCGTAGAGCTTGCATCAGGCTAATCACAGATTTGCTACTTTGTTGACGGGATTCCCAAAGCAGCAAGATCTGAAAAACAAAGAACGTGTAACAGGACAAGAGCACGCAACACGTAAATTGTATCAGAAAATTCAGAGGTTCTCGATTTTTTCCAATCGAGAAATATCGATCCAGATCAAGCAGCGAGTAATACAAAATATACTCATTACATTACATGTACTTTATTAATTTCACGCGAGGGAGAGGTGAAACAACCGAAGTTCGTACATAAGGACTTTCCGACAGGATTAAGTACACCAAAGTGAATTGATTTGAGACCACACAATAGCCATGAATTTCTGTCACGCTTCCCCGAACGATAAGTTCTCATAATAACAATAATTGGTGCTAAGATAACTCATAAGAAGACGAATATTTTAATTAACAGCTAATGAGCTGTGCCACAGTCTCTAATAATATCATAAAAATATGAAATTTTATCATCACCTTCCTGATTAAAACATAACAACCGATGGGAAAGGAATACGGGAGATCGGAACGATATCTGACAGATGATACCAAAAATGGTTTAAAAATAATTGCGCTTTGACTTATTATTTACTTTTTCAAAGAACACTATTTTCCTTACGTCGTTGACTCAAATTCTGATGCTCAACAGAAACAGTGCAATCCCGAATACAAACAACAAAAAGGAGGTTTTTCTGAAGAACAGTTTACCTTAATAGGCTCAAAATGCTTGAAAACACGGCTGCCGAGCAAAAGCCTTATTCTGAGCAGCTTCAAATGGTTTGGGCGCGAGATCAAAATGGCAGAAGAACTGCGAGCGACACTTTCTTTGCACAGTTAAGTTAACAGCAGGAGAAAATGGTGCAAATCAACAGATCATACACCTGACATTATTATGCTTTTGAGTCCAGCGCGCAGAGTACATTGGGTGGGTAGAGTATGTCAGATATTTAAACATTCTCTGATGCTCCAACCCCACAAAACAAAGTAAGGGACTATAAAAAATAGTAAATAAAGCGTGTTCTTTGAGAGTTTGCAACGCTTTTGAAACAGAGCATAAAATAGTTTAATCTGCAAAATGCAAGACCCACTAAGTCGGCTGAGAGACTGCAGCCAACTACTAGTCACATAAATCAGCTGCTGCAGGAAACATCTTTGCCAGCCAAAGATTACCGGCATTACCGTCAGTGGCTGGGACGAAACGTTGGCAGGAATTACCACCCGATTATACTCCTGTGCTCAGTGTTCCTTGCTGCTGGCCAACCCCCGCCAGGAACGACCTCCAGGTACAAAGGCCGGCTATGAGAAATAAGCAGTTGCCGATATGCAAAGACGGAACCATCAGGGCGTGCGTGGTTGGATTCAAGCTCGCCCAGTTCGATCTTCAAAGAAAAGTCACAATGCCAATTTCATGACGAAAAAAAGTAACGCAATCCGTGGAAGAAAAAAGACCCCTAGTGTTACCGCTGTCTTTTATTTATACGCTCAGTTAATCAAAGGCTAGCAGAAACAACTTTGCAGAAAACAATCTGACTGGTCTGAAAGAAATTTCCATGCCAGCTGGCAAAACATCATACCCTATGACAGCAGAAGGGTGCTGTGACCGGGGCAAGTAAATATTATAAAATACTAGCATGCTCAAGTAAATAGTTTCTTGAGCAATGTAAAGAAAATCTTCACCATGGCTGGAACCATGAACGAACTGTTGAACAGCTACTAGCATAAAGATGCTCACGGATAAAGCCGATCTGAGAAGCGCCAAACCACCCCCAACATGCAGAGCACCAAACGAGGACAAGTGGGGTGATGAACTGAAAGTAAATGGCTTTTTATGCTGTTTTAATGATAAATAGATAACTGAATGAACAATTGTATTAGTGAGTAAACGAATGAATGGAAATTGACCGTCAAGTAATGCTAGATTCCAATGTATGATGCCGCCGAACTTGTACATTTATGTTGTGATCTCTTATAACACATGAGGATGATTGTTCCTGTCTTACACATACTGAACGTAATCCCTCCAGGCTACGGAATTTTTTTTCTGCCAGCCATGTCAAATTAAATATGTATATTTGTGCGACAGGCTCTTCTCAGTAGTTATCTATCTCTGTTATACGTACCAAGTCTGTCGGTGAAGGCCTTGATGCAAAATAAGGTAAATAATGGTCGACTTCAAGTTTGCGGGCCAGCATCCTCCAATCGTTTCCGGATTCTGTCGGAGGATCGAGCAGCGCGGCAAGCCGTAACCTCACCGGGGCCGATAATCTACGGAGCAAATCGAGGTAATCAGTGGTTGCAGGAATGACTCGACGAAGACCTACCTGACCGGGGCATAAAATTCACGGAACGTATCACTGATGTTCCATACTGCCTCATTGTCGATGTTGATGATGGACCTGGAGCTTTTGCTGCCTTTTTGGCAGACGATCAGTGTCGCTGTGAGCGGAAAGTCTTGGATACAGTGAATATTCTCTTTGTTGGCCAATGAGAACGTGCAGTGTAACGCCGGGTTACTATTCCACAGGTGGGATGCTGGGATTTCCTGATAGTTGGAGGCACTCAGCAAAGTCCATCCGGGGCTGAGACCCTCCAAGCACAGACAAAAGTCTGATCCTTGCTTCAGCAACAGAGTTTCTGATTGCACGGCACACAGGCGACCGCACAACTCCTCCTCTTGCGCCAGCGTCCACTGAAGGGCTGCTCTAGTATCGGCAATACAATACACTCGAAGTCCAGAATCGCCCATGAACACCGCTAAACGACATCTCTAAAAGAACAAGAAAACGAAAACGTTAGCAGCGACTCCTGTCAGCGTCGTAATTACGAACATACCTTGGACACGGGTGGGGCGTTGGTCTTGCCCTCACCAACCAATGCGTATTTGCCAGAGTTCTCGATCAGAACGTGGCAACAGTTTTGGTCCATCTGACAGTAGGTGGACGTATTCAATGTCTCCTGACCGACGACCGCCACAGGGCTCCACTGGTTGCTGAACGCGTCATCGCACGAGCCGTTGAAGAACATGGTAAACTGCCAATCTTCACCGGATCGATC